CCCTAACCCTTTCAGTCTACTAATACTCTACTAACACTCAATTGAGAGTTAGTAGACATGTAGGTGCAACGTTACCTATAGTCAACAGAATGTGTTAAAGGGACCATCAAAATAAAGTGAAACCAATGTGTACTGTGAAGTTTCAAGGACAACAAAGTTTCAAAAACAACTGCTCAAACATTTCCAAATAACGGATGAAAAACAGAGAGCGAGAGAGAGCGGAGCCAGAGGCCAAAAGTGAGCAGAATGAAAGCAAGAGAGAGAGATGTGTGTACGCTACACACGAGACAATGGAGAGAAAGTTAGATAAGAGAGAAAAAAGGGACCAGAGCTAGGTTTAGAAATTTCTGAGTCCTGTTCCATTAAGAATGAATGGCTCAGTGCAGTTTCAACTCTAGGCAGTTCTTAGCGTTTGCGCTCTGTTTTCATTGGCGAGCTCGCTGACGTCAGCCCACCCTTCCAAAACACACTGAATTATTCAACCGCTTGTGGCCTATCGCTCCATCATCAGCACGTACGGCAACATATGTGTCCTGCCAGACATGCATAAGCATCGCTGTCGACACGCAAAGTGGGAATTGTGCCCAAATATAACACGGCTTTACTCCAGCGTTACTAAAATGTTTGCACGCCATCTCTGTAAACGACTGACAGTACAAGAGGAATCGTGTCCTTTTATTTTCAATAAAGTAAGTACTCTGAAAACATCAAATTCATAAATCATTCTTTTAGCATGGTAAGCCTAGAGTCGACAGAAACTGCAAGTAGTTACTTTTGTCTTCAGCTGAAACAGATAAGTTTGGTGAGCCATTTTTACCCACAGTGCTTGACAAAAGAAATGTGCCATCAAACCAAATGAGACAGATTAATGAAATTAATTTTTCACACAGTAGAACAAGAAGCGTTGGAGAAAGTTGGAGGGGAGAAACTCAAAAAGAAAGGCGCTTTGACTCTAATAAGGTTGCGGATGAATCGGCGGCTGTGCTGCTGATAAAGGAAACTCTGGCGGTGTCGGAGACATCCTCAGTCTCCGGTTCATCAGGGGTAGGAGGAACACGATTACGGCTTCCTCCTGAAGCATGCTGATAGGATTAACAGCATTAACCCAAATTTCCTGTGACACTGGTTAGCACCACTGCAGCTAGTGAGATACCCCGGTCCCCCTGATCACTGCTCATCGCTCTCCAGTGCACTGACCTAGCACACTTAGGAAAGTTTGGTCATGACTGTCATGGCTGAACATCTTTTTCTTAGGTTTTTTTTTTCTTTTCTTGTTCATCAGAATGGCACTGTTCCGGATATATCATCCGGGAATTGCTGGCCTATTGTTTAATGAAGTATTCAAACATCATATTAATTTGACTTGATTAATTTCAAACTATGTACACAAGTATGTGAGGCATTATTTGATTATTGTACTTTAATTTTGTTTTATATTTTATTTATTTATTTATTTTCAGTTACATTTTAATTAAAGGCATACCGTTTTACCGGCATCTTTATTTTATTTCATCTTTTTATTCTCACTGTCTTTATTTTTATGAATTGGTGCATAATCAGACACAAGGACTGTATGTGGCACTGTTTGAGTAAAATACTTTATTTTTGTTTTATTATTTGTTTATTTATTACATTTTATTTAATTCGTTTTTTAAAGCATACTTTAGCCTAATATTTTGAGATTTACAGGTATCTTTATTTAACTTGATCTTTTTCCTCACTTTTTAAATTTTTATGTATTAATGCGTGGTCAGACACAGGGACTGTGTTATGTGGCACTGTTTGGTTAGTTTTATTTTTTTATTTTTTTGTATCTATTTTTTACTGTAAATATATGTAGTATTTGTAGTATTTATCTATCTTTTTCCTGTCACTGTCTTTATTAATTTATATTTATTTATGTATTTATTTTTAACTTTTTACATTTTATTTTTAAAACATACTGCAGAAATTTACTTGAACATTTTATTTGATCTTTTTCAGGTCACAACTTTATTTTTGTGTATCTTTTGCATATTCAGACACAGGGACTATGCTATGTGGCACTATTTGATGAATGTGTTTGCCTGGCCTCTGTTGATCTTGATCTTGCCCTCTGGGACTGAGAGAGAGACAGCAAAAGATACAAAGCAGAGATGGATCCTCAGCAAATACAGGCTTAGTGATCACAGTCTAGCCAAAGAAGACAGACACAGACAAACATGGCATCCAAAGGAAAAACAAATCTGTGCTTACTGTGACACTGGCGAGGTTGGGACAGAGGCACACCTCTTATAAATTTGTGAAATAATTTGAAGAACTTATTCTTCTGTCACTGTTGTTGTTGTGTGCATTGATATGTTGGCAATATTGTAATTAAAAGAATAACACCGGTAAGCTATTGAGCAAGAATGTGACACTCCTCTTTTCAATTCATTTCCAGATGGGCAAATGGGAGAACCAGAGTTTGACTTTGAAATATCCTGTGTGGCCTCGCTTCAACTCTTTTGGTGATGCAGAGACAGACGACAATCACCTGAGCATTGTAACTCTAGAGGAGAAGCCTTTTGTCATTGTGGAGAACGTGGAGCGCCTCACAGGCACCTGCATGAGAAACTCTGTGCCCTGCCGCAAACACATCAAAGAGTAAGGCTTGTTTTTCTCAATCACTCACTCATCTACTGAAAGAATCACTCTCAAACTGATAGATGTTTGACATCGTGACCCTAGAGAGGTGTGCAGAGTGATGTAAGAGCACTCTTAAAGAGAGTTTGATATATGTTGAGGGTTGTTGATTGCATGACTACGTACATCAATCAATACTGTAGTGTTACTGTCCACTTGTCGTTGGAAGACACTAAATTAGATTTTTGAACTTTTATGTGCTTATTGTTCAAGGGAAACCCAAATGTTTTTTTTTTTTATAAATACATTTTATAAAATTAAGAATACCTTTTCTAATGTTACAGTAAAAACAATAACATGATGCTTCAGAAATCATTCTAATATGCTGATTCGATATCAGTGTTATCGAATACATGCCTTTACTGCCACTTTTGATCAAATTAATGCAGAATAAAAGTATTATTATCTTTCTTTAAATAGTACTGACTCCAAACGTTTAAACAGTAGTGTACATGTTTGAGTTTACATAAACAATTATTAAAAAGTCACAGTCATAAAAGCTGTTGTGATCTGTGAGCCTTGATTAACACTGAGAGTGAAAACTGCCCATGTAAAGAAACGCACAGGGGCTTTTATTGGATTTTTTACACTGCTAAATAGGGCGAAGAATATACGATCTCATAGGATCACTATATCCTGCTCTGTATGCATGAAAATTAGTCTCATCAAAGAACTGAGCACACACACACAAAGGCACAAGAGAATACGTGGATGCCACACATGTCCACTTGCAAACAGGCCAGTGCTCTCTGTTGTGTTCCTCCAACGACACAATTCCCACTCAAGCATCCATTGTGCCTGTTTGGAGGAAGAGGAGGAGGAGGCAGGAATTAATAAGACGCTGGCAGGATATAGTCCTGTCCTCCCTGAGATAGACCTGCCTCTCTTTCTTTGTGTCTCTCCCTCAGCCTCACTTTATTGGTTCCTCATCTGCTTGGTTTTAACAGCAAAATTACTCAGTCAACATAACTACTCAGCCATAATCACAGTAAACAGAACTAGACATTACCTTAGTGCATCAGAAACACCAACGGGAACATAGCGTAAACACGATCAGAGAGTTGTTATTATCGCCTTGTGGTTTGATAAACAACCTTCAAATGTACATTCTTAAAAGCTTTAGTTTGCTTATAGAGCACAGAAAATGTTTATGTTTTTTTGAAAGCTCATCTATCACTGATATATGCACAGTATTCATTTGGTGAAGCATTGTAGTTCATTCAGTACTCTACGATTCATATATTTGGAGTGATTTTTTTTTTCTTGAAAAAAATTTTTTGTAATCAGCAAGGATGTACTAAATTGATCAAAAGTGCCAGTAAAGACTTTTACATTGTTACAAAAAATTATATTTTATATAAATGCTGTTGTAAATGCTAAAAACATTTCCACAAAAAATATTAATTGCCACAACTATTTTTAACAATAAGATAATAAATAAATAAAAAATGTTTTGAGCAGCAAATCAGCATATCAGAATGATTTCTGAAGGATCATGTGACACTGAAGCCTGGAGTAATGATGCTGAAAATTCAGCTTTAGATCACAGGAATAAATTACATCTTTTTTAAAGTATTACATTCGAAAACTATTTCAAATTGTGATAATATTCCACAATATTACTGTTTTTTAATCAAATAAATGCAGCCTTGGTGAGCATAAAATGACTCTTTCAAAAACATTAACCCTACACCCGACCCTAAACTTGCCATTATTTACTCAGCCTCATGCCTTCTCCAAACCTATACTATGACTTTCACAAAAGGTGAATTTTTGAAGAATTTGTAAAAAGTGGTTTACATGATATACCATGTAATCTTAGTCTAATGAAGTAATGAAGTAGCAATGCCCAGTCTCAGTAGACTTAAGAAGACTCATTTGGACTGTTATTGTGTCTGCTTTTATGTGTTTATGGTAGTTTTGTATCCTTTTTGGACCTTGAAAGCTCTCAGTCCCCATTCATTGTAATTGCAGAGAAAAGTGTGACCTCAAAATAAGTAGATCTTCAAAATTTCTCCTTTTTTGTTTAATGAAAGAAGAAAGTCAGCAGGTCTGAAATGAAATAAAGATAAGTACACGATGACAGAATTTTCATTTTGATGGGTGAACTAATACTTTAAGAGCAAAAAAGTAAACTATATTTATGTGAAGAGTCACCCTTTTGGCCCAGTCTGACAGACAGACAGTCTAACACTCTGATCTTTGTCAGAGATAAATGCAGTATGATGATGTGGGAACGGCAGCTCATCTGGTATCCTCAGCTGTCGTTTTACCCTCTACTTCAGCTGCTGCTGAGGCCTGTAGATGCAGAAACTGATGCAGTGCCAGCTTGACAAGCCACAGAAACAGAGGAGACATGCTTCAGTGATCAGGACGCACACACACAAACAGATGCAAACAATTCAAGATCACTCTGAGCCACTGAGATATTTAAAAGCAAATGTCAGAATTCAGATAATCACCTCCAACTTTTACCTCTTAGATTTAACTCCTAGATTTTCACAAATTGTGTTGTCTTGGCAAGTGATCATATTAGCTTGCCTCATATTTAAAAAATCTCTAAAAGAACTAGAAGAAACAAACATGGTGGACAGTGTGTCTCCATAAGAATGTAATTGGTGTAGTAAAGGCAGTGAGGAAGTGGTCTGGTGACATAAGAGAGCCCCTCTTATTGCCGCTGGGTATCGAAATGTGAGGAAGACTCTGTTATAATATGGATTCTGCCTTGTGAGAGTTAGAATAGAGCCTCTGCAGGAGCCAGGGGAATTCATTGTGTGCGTCATAGCCAGCACAGAGGGGAAGAGATTGATTTGAAACTGGATTTTGCCTAGGCAGTCGAATGTGTGTCTCTCTCATTGTGGAGACAGGAAAGTTTGTTCATTTCTGCAGTCAGAAGGCATGCAGCCACTTCTTGCTGCCAAAAACACTCCTCTGCTTTTATACGATCAGTGCTAGGCTGGATTTACAATAAGCTTTTTTTTGTTTTTTGTCTAACACGATAACAGGGAACAAAAATTTCATAGCTCAGCTTTTCAGTCTTTTGTAGACTGCACTATCTGCATTGTAGACTCATTTATTTTGTTCAGGTACTGGTTATAGAGCAGCTAGGACAATCAGGCAAATGATTGTAAGTGATTAAAAGTGAAAATTCACTTCTTAAAGGTGTAGTAATATTTATTTTAATGATGCTTTTGATAAACAGAACATTTTATTATTTTATTTATTTATTTATTTTTAATTTATTTATTTTTTTCAAACTTTCGCTGCCATAGCAATGAAGGCTTATGCAATGCACAATTTTGAGCTGCAATACTTTTATATTTTAATAAAATATTTTAATAAAAATTTAGATAAGCAGAGTAATTTTTCATAGATTGTTTTGTTTTGTTTTGTTTTGTTTTGTTTTGTTTCGTTTCGTTTCGTTTCGTTTCGTTTTGTTCAACCTCTGGCATCTCCAGTAATGACTTCCACTTTCTCTGGGCAGACATAATTTAGGCATTTGCACTATTTTGAGGTCTCTGAAACCAATATTTATAGTCATTGCATGCAGTCTACATTGGGGGCTACATAGGGACTATATCAAATACATGGCGATAGCAAAAATAGTTTGCAGTGAGAAGAAGGATTTGGCACGCATGGGAGCAATCTGTGGAGACAAAGTATACTCATAAGTGTTTTTTTCTTAGTGTTGATCTGTTTAAAGAACATAGAGAGCCGAGTCTTAATTAGCTTCAATCTAAAAGTTAAATGAGGCTCCCAGGTGGCTTTGCTAGTTTAAGTGTTGTCTGTCTGAACTCTGAAGTGGAGATGCTCCACTCACAGATGGTGGCATGATTACTAATGCAGCTCTGTCCTGTCTGCAACCCTGTCATTTTTTTCTTTACTAAAGTACACTTTTCTCTACAAATTTAGCTACTTTGTACAACTATCAGCTAATTGGAGAGTGTTCTATATTCACCCCAGTCACTCATAATTATGTCTAGAACATGCCTCCCCAGAGTGCACGTTGTGCAGACTTGTAGTTAAGGATCTGAGCTGTTAACCAAAAGGTTGCAGGTTTAAACCCAAGAAGGGACAGTCCATTAACCACTGCCGTTTTGCCCTTGAGCAAAGCACTTAACCCCAGGCTACTCCAGCGGGACTGTCCCTGCAATAAGTGTTCTGTAAACTGTCTTGGACAAAACTAAAAGTTTTGCGCATTTCTGACTCAGTGTAAGGATGTCTGCGAATGAAAAAAATATGCACAAATCTGAATAAATAAACAAATCACTTGCTGATTGGGCAAAAAAAGACATTTAAAACTGTTTATCTAATTCTTGTTTAAAATGTAAATGTAATGTCTCAATAAATTGATAAATCATTTTTAAATGCAGCATCTACATTGCATTTGTTTGTCGTTTTGCCAAATGTTTTTCTTTTTATTCATTTCACATAAGTAAAGTGATTTATTTATTTAAATTAAAAAATAAAAATGTAGTATAACATAAATGTATTCATTAAGTTGAATGAATCAAATATAGGCAAATAAAATGGCAAATAAATAGACATATTTATATAAACTTTTTATCTAAATCATGTTTAAAAAATGTCACTAAATGTAACAATACATTTATTTGTTTATTTACATTTTTACTCTTAAGTTAATACAATTGGTAATTAATTAAATTATAATTAAATAAATTGGTAATTTTTTTTTAAGTGACACTCCTAGTTCTTGCCAGGTATAAACATCAATGTATCTGACTAACCACTTGGGATTGGATTACCCAGATTTTAATATCAGGTGTAAACAGGGCTTTGTTTGGGTGAGGTAGTACCCTAGGATGAATTCAGCTATGAAATAAATAAAAACTGAATGAGAGTATGAACACTAGATGTACTGTAAGCTGTAGTAATGCAGGTTCTACTTTAGTCGACCCCTTCTGACTGTGTCTAAAAACAGGACCTTCTCCCCCAGTCCAAATGAAATAATCATCTTGACTGCCCTGTAAATAGAATTGTCTTCCTCCTCGCTCGGGAAAACAGGAACCCCTCTGCAATTAAGTCGGCACAGATTGGCGGTGGTCTTTACAAGGCGTCAGAAATCTCCAGTCGACTGCAATTTTCACCAGAGGTTTGGCACTCCCTTGATGGCTCCCTGAGAGGCTCTCAAGGGAAAGCCCTACTATTCATTGTAATTAAGAAATTTCTCCACTGCCGGCAGCGAAAGGCTTTATCGTTCATGCTTCAGCACACTATACCTACTGTACTGTAATCCCAGCTAGTGAATGGTCTGCGCATGCAGGCTGCTGTCCAAAATATGCTTTAGACAAAGTGCAAAATACAATTGTGACTCCTCTTCTGAGTACTTAATCCCGCTCTGTTCACACAGAGATAGCTTATTGTGTACATGCAGTGGAAAATCACGTGAAGTTCACACATGCAGTATATAGTAACTGCACTAAAGGAGGGTTACAAAGATAACAACAATCATTTGTTTGTAATTTCATGTTTGTGGTGAGATTAAAATGTGAAAATATAATATATAATATAGTATAAAATATAATATATAATAATGTGTGATATATGTAGTCATGAAATCAAAGACAAGTGCTCAGATTCATTTCCCAAACATTTAAATTGCGACAATAAATATTAATTTGAATTTGTCAAATTCATACATTATGGTCTAGAGAGAGCACATTGTTTAAAAACAAAAGGCCACTTTGTAAATTTTAGTTTGCTGATAAGTGTTTGTGGTAATTAATATTTCTTTCATCCATCTACATTACCATTCAAATGTTGAGGTCGGTATGATTGTGAAAGAAGTCTCTTATGCTCTCCAAGGCTGCATTTATTTGATTAAAAATACAGTAAAAATAGTAATATTGTGAAATTTTATTACAATTTAAAGTAACTTTTTTTTCTATTTGAATATACTTTAAAATGTAATTTATTCCTGTGATGACAAAGCTGAAGTTTCAGCTGCCATTACTCCAGTCTTCAGTGTCACATGATCCTTCAGAAATCATTCTAATATGCATTCTAATCATTCTAATATTCTAATAGAATTCTGATTTGGTGCTCAAGTAGCATTATTGTAAATGTTAAAAACAGTTTTACTGCTTAATATTTTTGTGGAAACTGATCATTTTTTTCAGGATTTGATTAATATAGAACAGCATTTAGTTGAAATAGAATTTTTTTAGTAACAATGTACGTTTTTACGTTCACTTTTAATCAATTTAATGCATCCTTGCTGAATGAAAAGTATGTCTTTATTTAAAAAAAAAAACATCTTACTAAAACATCTGAAGACATGCCATACAGTATTTCTCCCTATGCATGGAACAATCCAGAAAATGCATCAGTCAGCTAAGCGTGAAATGGTCCTGACTTCATGATTCAGATATTCTGCTTTAAGTTGAACTGTGATTAATGTGCTCTATCCATCAGCAACACCACCGAGGGAGGAGGAACGTACATTAAAAAGTGCTGCAAAGGCTTCTGCATCGACATCCTGAAGAAAATCGCTCGGAACGTGAAGTTCACCTACGACCTTTATCTGGTGACCAACGGGAAGCACGGCAAGAAGATCAACAACATGTGGAACGGCATGGTGGGAGAGGTGAGAAGATTTAATTAGCCAAATCTGCCGATGCGATTTGTTATCGAACGCTGCTTTTCCATTTACAGAGATAAACAAAGGTTAGATTGAATAAAGTTTTGTTCTCCCATTCTCTCTCGCGCGCTCCACTGGAAGTAATTTTGTAAAAGTCAGTCAAAGCCTGATAGCAATCAAATGTGAAATTGGGGAAATGAGCTAGATATTTGTTCAATTTGGATCCAGAGGGAGCGAAACGCTAGAACTCAAGTTTCATTTGGCTGCAAAAATGAATCGAATATCCTAGGTGTTCTGTATATAAATGTCGCAGCTTTTGACTAAACCCCCGTGTCGTCTTGTCTCCTTCAACAGGTGGTGTACAAAAAAGCAGTCATGGCCGTGGGCTCCCTGACAATCAATGAGGAGCGCTCAGAGGTCATCGATTTCTCCGTCCCCTTCGTGGAAACGGGGATTAGTGTGATGGTATCCCGTAGCAACGGAACCGTCTCCCCATCAGCGTTTTTAGGTAACTATCTGCAGGGCACAGCAGATGTTTTCTCGACGATCGTCTTATTTCCACCTGTCAAAATATTGAAGTCTTTCCACCAATCAAACCCCAGATCCGACAGGCCGATAGAGTCGCCCACAAATCCGCTGAAGTGGGCCGCTTTTAGATTCATAGCACCCTGAGTGCTCCTTTATGCTTGATGGCACTAGATCAGCAAGCCATTATTTAATTAGCATAAGGCCAATAATTACAGGGTCTGAGAAACTTCCCCAATGGACACTTGCCAGTTTCGCATTTGCTTCCCACGGTAAAGCTCTTTTCATCTCTTCAGCTTGTCTATAGTCACATATCAAGCAGAATGCCTGGATGATAGTTGCTGACTGTGACTTTTTTCCCCGATCTACCTGTCTCTCGCTCCCCCTTCGCTACAGAGCCCTTCAGTGCGTCTGTGTGGGTGATGATGTTTGTGATGCTGCTGCTGGTGACTGCAATGGCTGTCTTCATGTTTGAGTTCGTCAGCCCCCTGGGCTTCAACAGGAACCTCGCTCAGGGCAAAGGTACGTAACTAGCACTCTCAGCTACTCACTCCCTCCCTCCACGGTTCCTCCTCCGTTTCCCCTGCAATGCAGTCGGTCTTTCAGTTTCAGACACACTAGTAAATCCTTGCCCTGCTCTGATAGAGCGTCTCACATCTGCACCACAAACCCCTTGTTCTTTTGCGAAACATTAAGGCTTAATTTATACTTAATTTCGGTGCTGAGTGGTTTCGGGCTCGGAGTTAGTTCAATAAAGTTCAATTCATTTTCATTTGATTCAAGTGGATCAGATTTAATTAATGAAGCCTCATTTGGAGTGCCTTTGTTACGTGACACTAAAAAGCATTTCTTCTTTTGTTAGACGACTCATTTAAAGCTTAGATTTTCAAAAGGGAGGTACGTCAAAGCAATCTAAAGATACATCAGCTGTCTATTTCTACAGCCACCTTACAAAGGAATCGTTCTAGGTTTACTTCTGTGTATTTATCGTAATGTTTCACGGTGAACTCTTGCATGCAGTTTCGCTTATGTGAAAACAAAAGGCCGATGAACTGTTCAAGAATATGAAGATTAACAGCTGAGCAGCAGGGTGCTGTACTTTGGCTTTATTCTGTGCAAGTGCTCTAATGACCGTGAAGAGGGGAGATTATGTTATTTCTGAAATTAAAGAACTGAGAAAGGCTTTGGCACGAATGAAGGATGTTAATGAAAACGCATCTTCCGCAGACCCCCACGGACCATCCTTCACCATGGGCAAAGCAGTCTGGCTGTTGTGGGGCCTGGTATTTAACAACTCCGTGCCCGTGCAAAACCCCAAAGGCACCACCAGTAAATTCATAGTGTCCATCTGGGCCTTCTTCGCTGTCATCTTCCTGGCCAGTTACACTGCCAACCTGGCTGCTTTCATGATCCAGGAGGAATTTGTGGACCAAGTGACAGGTCTAAGCGACAATAAGGTAAAACAATATTTATACACTAGTGTTCACATTTTTGGGGTCTGTAAGTTTATTTATTTATTTATTTTTAAAGAAATTAATTAATTATTCGGCAAGAATGCAATACATGGTAACACTTTATTTCGATAGTCCACTTTAGACATTATATTAACAGTAAGTAACTTTGCAACTACATGTCAACTAGCAGTTAGTAGAGTATTAGTAGACTGTCTGCTTAATATCTTCTAACACTTTCTTTGTCAACTTATTCTACTAACACTAAACCTACCCTAACAGTCTACTCTGAGAGTTAGTAGACATGTAGATGCAAATTAATGAGAATTAGTTGACATGTAGTTGACATGTATCGAAATAAAGTGTAACCCAATACATTAATCAAAAGTGAGAGTAAAGACTTTTATATTGGAAATATTTGAAGTTTTACTGAAATAAATGTCTATTCATCGAGATTTATCATGATTTACACAAAAATATCAAGTAGCACAACTGTTTTCATCATTTAGAATAATAATAGGAAAGGTTTCTTGAGCAGCAAATTAGCATATTAGAATAATGAATAATGGCTGCTTAAAATTTCAGCTTTACCATCAAAGGAACAAATTACATTTTAAAATATATTAAAATAGAAAATAGTTATTTAGGTAATGTAAGGATATTTATTTATAGATTATGTGGCAAAGTATGTGTGTGTGTCTCCCAAAGATCTAATGAAAGCTTCGCCACTGATGGCAGCACAGTGGTTTCGATCCTGTAATAGCGCAACAAAGTACTTTGACCTTTGGTAAGACGTTGCAGTCTCTGCTGGGTATTTACTGCAGCCTACAGTGTTTACTTTGCAGGCTTGAAGTTTTGTCGGGCGCTGGATGTTTTGTTCATGAGGCTCGTATCCAAGACTAACAAGTGCTCCTCCTTTACATGAAAACAAAGTCTTCACAACTGATTAGTATTTATTTCAGAGAGAAAATGCACAAGAATCTTTCATGAGAATCCTGCACCACGCCAGCATGCTGCTGTGAGTGTTGGATGACAATGAGCTTGAGCCTTCTTTAAAATAATCTGGATGCTTGGAAGGTTTAAAAAGGACTATGCTGCGCATTGCTTTGCAGAACTGGTCTGTGAAGAGAAAAACAGAAGAATAAAGACTACTGATGGCCTATACTATGAAATTAGAATAGAATAGAATAGAATAATATTTTCAGGCATTACTGTTAATTAAAGGCCTGTTTAATTAGTTCAAATATTTTTATTTTATTTATTTATTTATTGAATTTTTTTGGTGGTGGAGCTAGTAAAATTTTTTGAATAATAGTCAAAAATATGGCAAAACAAGTGAAAATCTGAACTAGTAGCCCATCCTGGCAAGTGTAAAATATCCTGTTTGAAAATAATCTCTTCAATCACAAATAAAACAAAGCCCAAAGCTATTTCACATAGATTGTGAACTCTCTTATGTAGCGGTGAGCTCTATTAAAGTAGAATAATTTGTCTTGTTCAGCTGTCATGGGACTTTTTGTTGGCGTTTTATTGTAAGCTCAGCATTTGTGTGGAGGATTCATAAATACAATGTCTTTTTGTAACTGGTAGTGAGCTGTTACTCTGTGTTAAATCCTGTAGGAGGACAGTCATTAAAGGCACAATATGTAAGATTTTTTTATTAAAATATCCAAAAACCACTAGAACAGTGTTATATATTTTGCTGACTTGTGTACTTACATTATCCCAGATGTTTCGAAGAATGTTTAAATCCAGAGAAATAATACATTTTAACTAGTGACACGGAGCGTGTTCATAGTGTCATTGTGTCGCCTGCCAATGACGTCATAACCCCTCAATTTCCGTTTTTTGTAGAAAACATGGAAACACCAAAGACGCTTTAATATGTTCTGCATTTTATTAGACCGGTGACGACTGCACAGAGTAGCATTCGATGGCTTTCGGCCTC